GAAGAAGCTCCTTTAAGTAGTTACTTTGGTGTACCTCCACCTCCAAAGAAATGTCAGAAGGACTCCGAAACGCAATAGAAGCGTGTATTCTTGGAAAAGTGGCTGCAGGAGGTGAGCTGGCTTCAAACAAATGATGAACGCACAGAGATGTGGTGCAGAATATGCCATGAAAATCCCACTCTAGCGGCCAAAAACAGTGCCTTTTATATGTACGCAAACACGCATTGCAATTCTTATCTGGTGCGCATCTGTTAAATTGACAGGGAATACGTATACGTATACATACACACACACACACACAAGTCAAAAATAAGCCCATGGAATATGTTAAAATTCATTCTCTGTAATTCTACTTCAAAAGTGAGCAAATTTGACTGTTAGGTCGGTGTTTTTGCTACTTTACATCTGTCATGATGAATGTGTCAGAATCACAGACAGCAAGAAAAAGAAGAAGAGAAAGAAAAGGCTTGCGTGCAGGCGGTCTTCAGTGCAGTACTGATAAAGAGGATCAGTGCTGACTGATGTTCAGCAAAAAAAAATTAAAATAATATAATAATATAACCCCAAGCGCGCACCATCGTTCCTATTCATCTGGCCTTCTCTGCTCTAATGGGCATGTTGGTGGCGAGTGGATGGATGACTGGTTCTTGTCAGATCAAATCTTTGGCCCTGAGTAGCTAACACTATACAGGACTATTCCAGGAAATAGACTGGTCACTGAGAAGGCAAGGTGATCTCACCAAATGTCAATACACCAGCAAATGAAAATGTTAAATTATTCAATATTACTTCAACAACCTTGAATACAGAGCCATTAAATATTTGGCATTTATGCTTAAAAATTGCTTTTATGATTATGACAACTTAATTGTTTATTTATTCTCTTCAAATAATATAAATGAGCAATATTTACTAGTTTACTTGGACTCTGATGCATTTATGAGATTTAAATTATATATACATTATAAAGAAGAACAGGTGATACCTTTTAGTGACCAGCTGCTGTCCAAATAAGAAATAAATAAATGACTGAACAGATTAAGATACATCACAACTGCCAGATACAAAATACAATGAGATTACATGCCTGCTCAAACTTAATCCTTCATATTTTATATGTTTATTGATTCGTTTTTCTTGTTATAGCTTCACAGGAAGTCACATGCTCAGTTAATGAAATAATATATTTATTTTTAGATTTATTTTTGGCATTTTTTGCCTTTATTATACAGCAACAGTCAGAGGGAGAGAGAGAAAGAGAGGATGACAATTGCAGTAGGGACTCAACAGATGAGCTACAGGAGCAACCCCCCCCCCTCCCCGATTCAGATGTTTTAAAGCAACACAAGCACTGCTTTGAGCTGTGAGAATGAGAAATTCTTGCTTAAAGCCACATTTACCTCAAATGACTAAATTAGCTGCCATTGAAGTGTAGTGCTGCTGTACATCACACTGCTGCAAATCCTGCTTAACTGAGAACGGCTTAATACCAGATTTTTATTACCACACACTAATACTTCAAGTTGCCTTAAGAACAAAGAACTAATCGTGACCTCCCAAGACTTAAACAATACCGCCATACATGAATCAGCAGCTGACAAATTAGCAAGCAATAGGTCCCTCTCCTGGCTTACAGAGGCTACAACACACTTGCAGGTATCCTGATACCACAAGCCGGGAAAAGGTGCTGAATAGCTACGAAAGAGCACAGAGCAGTGGGTGTTTGTATAGTATGGCTCTGCCTCATGAGCAAACAAACCAGTTCAATAAATTACCAAATAATGTGCACAGATGGTTAACATAAATATACCAATGTGCCACTGCCACTTGCTATGTCACTGCTATTGATTTTGGCTTATTCATACAAACCCCTAAACAATTTTTCATTAAAGGTTTTCTAATCAGGACCATAAACTAGTCATTAATCATTTGATGTCTAAAAACATTATTCAGTCCCATGTGTGTCTAACACTAGCCACTCCCCATTTTTACACTTTAAGTTAGCAAAATTAGAAAATAACTCCAGTATGGAAAGTAGGGCCAGAAAAAAAATGAAAGAGGAGGAGGAGAAGCTTCTATCTTCATACCAAATCTCCTCAGACAGATGTAATTATCCATTATTAGACCTAACAACTGAAATCCATTTAAGAGAGGCAATTAGAGCAACCAGCCTGAACGCAAGACTGATAAAAAGTCATCAACATTAAGTTTAATGAATATGCAAAAGATCAATAACATTCCTTGCCATTAATATAAATTTGCCTGTGTGTGATTTCAGTAATTTCTCTTTAACATAATGATTCAAAGGTACTTTGGCTGTACTGCAATTTCTGAGAGCAGATGTCTAAACTTTGGCCAAAAGTACCATACATTAAAACAAACAAAAACTGTGGCTTTTGTTGTTTCTATGGGACTGACTCAGCATATGATGAACTGGTGTTTCAGAATAAAGCTCTATATAAGGCATCAGGAGTGACTAAAGCATTCAGTGATTCTTTAAATATTTAAGTATGTCTTTAGAATTGATGTGGTTGTGACTAATTAATGAAAATAACTATGTTGCTATGTAGCTAAAAAATGTCACATTTGAGTGTAAACTCTGGTTTCACTCCTTAAAAAGACCAGAAAGAACGATTACGGTTTTAAATATTATCGATGTGTCTTTACCTTGGTAGTGCTGTAGCATCTTATGCGATCTGATGTCCCACACCTTGACAGAGTTGTCAGTACTAGCTGCAGCAATACATGTTCCACTGGGATGAAAGTCCACATAGTTTGCATAACTTTTGAGAAGAGAAAAAAAACAAAGTAAGGCAAAGTAAAGGAGAAACAGTGATTTAAAAGATTTAAAATCCTGGAATAACCCAGAAGGTCAGTTCAAACAACACAAAAGCTTTAGTCATTGGTGGAAAGGGTTAAAGATTTAAGGTTTATAGTGAGAGATTTAACTATTTTAAAACACATTAAGACACATGAAGCCTTTTGTGAAATTTCTTATTCTAAATGTTAGGAACTTAAAAAAAAATATACAGCTTTCTCTGGACCCTTTCCCCCCCCCCAATTTCATTTTTTTTTTTATCTTATGTAGTGGCATACAGCACCAAAATAAATTAAGCTGTGATTGGGATGTCTCCATTCCTGTTCACCTTGAACTGCTCCAACTTTCAGTACAACTGTGGGTAATGGCACCTATAGAAATACTCTGATGATTGATTCTCTGAGGAGCACTAGCAGATGATTTTGTTGAGAGGTCGAGAAAAAAAACGATAGATGGTGGTTGACCTGAGTCTCTCGTGGGTTGACCTGAGTCTATCGTGGGACAGGATGTTGATGTTAATCCTGACCACCCTCTGCATCACTTCCTACAGGCAGGCATAAAGTTTATTCTCTAACAGACTCTGCTGCCACAAGGATACAGGAAGTCTTTTATACCTCATGCCATCCTCCTCTATAACAATGCTTTTTGCTTGGAAGAGAGGCATTTTACATTAATGGTATTATTATCTCTAGTGTTTCAGCTGCTGTAAGAAACGATATGGGATAAAGTATAGCTCATCTTATTATCATCTCAACACCATAAGCTAAAACTACAGAAAAGAAAGGAGCTCAGTATGTCAGACTCTAAAAAAAACACAATAAAGGTAAAAAGAAGTAAGAAGAAAGACGTTAAGTAAAACAGGATATTAAATGTATCAAAGACTCACACAGCCAATGTCTCATTAAAGTGTTTCAGTATAACAGACTGCACAATGTACAAGGGAATAGGGCACATGTGTAATGACTGAGCAGGTGTTCAGTGCCTTCGTCATAAACATTTGAACAGGGTAACAAATGGTTAGGGGATTGATTCTGTCAGATTTTTTCCAGCATTTACTGCCGTTGCATCAGTACACTTGTAAGGATTTTTTCTGACCTTACCAGAACACCAGCAGAAAACTGACAAAAATAAATAAATACTCCTAGCTCCTCCTATTCATCATTCAGGTGCTCGCAAGTGCTCACCCAGCATGTTCATAGAAAGAATGAATGCACTCTCTGCTGTTTTTGTCCCACAGCTTTATGGTCTTATCATCACTGCATGACACAATCAAGCGATCGTCTGGAGAAAACCTGCAATAATAATATAAAATAAATGTAAATGATTAATGCTCAATCTGTATAAAATATGTTCAAAAATGCATGGTGTAATGAAAAAGGTCAGATATACACCAGGCATCAGGAATAAAATTATGACCACCTGCCTAATACAATACAATACGATTTTTTTAATATAGCACGTTTAAAACCAGGGGGTACATCAAAGTGCTTCACAGTAAGGAATAAACAGTAAATGATTACACTGAACAATAAGTCATTAAAATAAGGTAAAATAGAGAAACAAACAAAGGCATTAGTAAGTAGACATAGAGAGAATTCATGACATGAGCGGTGAGAATTAGTGAGTTGGAAAAGCCAGGTCGAATAGGTAAGTTTTCAAGCGTGCTTTAAAGGATTGAATGGAGTCAGAGGGACGAACAGTAGCAGGAAGACTATTCCAGAGGTTTGGTGCTACAGAGGCAAAGGAACGATCACCCCTAGTCTTCAGACGGTGCCTGGGCTGGGCCAGAAGTAACTGACCAGACGATCGTAAAGAATAGCTGGGAGTATAGAGACTGAGGAGGTCGGTGAGATAGTCAGGGGCAAGGTTGTTTAGGCATTTGAAAGTAAGCAGCACAACTTTAAAATTAATACGAAATTTAATAGGCAGCCAATGTAAGTCAGAGAGCACTGGAGCAATGGAGGCAAAAACTTCCTAGTTCTGGTTAGGAGACAAGCCGCTGTATTCTGAACATCTGTTATCATTGGAGGTGAGCAAGTTGGAGTCCAGAGTAGAGCGACTTACAATAATCTAATCTGGAGGTCACAAAGGCATGGATACGTTTTTCAAGGTCTTTGTACAGTATCAAACATTTGACCTTAGAAATTTGGCGCAATTGGAAGAAGCCAGATTTAACCACAGAGGAAACCTGTTTATCCAGCTTAAATGAACTATCCAGGCAAACACCTAGATTACTTACAGTGTCAGTAAGAAAGCAAGCAAATGGACCAAATCGGGCAGCTAGCTGATCTCGTGGAGTGGGACTATCAAACACCATAATCTCAGTTTTCTTCTCATTTAAAATGAGAGAATTGGCAGACAGCCACTTTGTGACCTGTTTCAAGCAGTCACACAAACGATTCAATGAAGCTGGCAGGTCAAAAGATAATTGGAAATTTAATAATGTGTTGGTCCCCCCTTTTGCTGCCAAAACAGGCCAGGCCTATTGAGCCATGTACTCCACCACACCTTTGAAGGTGTGCTATGGTATCTGGCACCAATATGTTAGCAACAGATCCTTTAATTCTTGTAAGATGCGAGGTTAGGCCATTTATGGGACTTATTTGTCCAGCACATCCACCAGATATTGGATTGGATTGGGATCTGGGGAACATGAAACTTCCTTTTTTTGGACTACTATTGTTAGATACTGACCAGGAACAGCCCAAAAAAAGAGGCATTTTGGAAATGATCAGTCTAATTCTCTTTATCTGTCAAAGGTCATAATGTGATGCCTGAAGTGTAAATCTATCAAAATGTCCTAATATGATGTATTGTATCGTGTTAAATGTGTGTCTCATACTTGGCACAGCGGACCCAGTTGATGTGCTGGTTGAGAGAGAAGAGGAACTTTTGCCTGTGGGTTGTCCACACTTTAATTGTCTTGTCATCAGAGGCCGTGACCAGAGTCTGTCCATCACCAGAAAAGTTAACACTGCGCACAGTGGCAGTGTGAGCCCTGAATACTGTTGACTCAGCCTTCCTGTATGGACACAAGACATTACTTAAGTTTAAAACAAACAAGCAAAACCCAGAAGGTGTTCAGCAATGTGTGCCTTCCTCCATGCTGGCAGAAGGAGACAAACAACATTCAGTAGTTGCTGCTCTTTATGAGTCACCATCATTGTCCTCTGTAGTAAATCTGTGGTGGAATAAAGAACAGAAAAGACAGAAAGATTTTACTTTAACACCTACATGCTTGGCACCCAAAGACGTACAGTCTTGTCTCTGGAGGCAGAGGCCACCAGATGGCCTGATGGGGAAAAGTGGACGGAAAGGACGGCATCTTTGTGTCCATCAAAACGATACGCTCGCATCTGAGGTTTCATGTTCCAGATCATCACACAGGAATCCATGGAGCCTGTGGCTAGGAGAGGATGAAGCACAGGTGTGAGTGAGAACATCATGTATTTCCAAAAAGGAAAAGACAAAGGCAACAGCGAACAGGTACATCTAAAGGCAAACAGATCGTTACCGATTTGTTTCATGTTGCAGCTGAAGTCCACACTTGTTACGGTGTCCCTGTGACCCTTAAAATGTCTTTCTAGGGTTGGATCAGACTATGGGAGCAAACAGAGAGTCATGTCAAAATGTTAAAATGTCATCATGACTACAAAAGCTACAATAATAAGCAATAAGTTAGACATCTGGGAAACGGAAAATTTGGTACTATTTACTAAGAGCTTATCACTGAAGAAGTGCTATTTCTTCCTCATCACGACTGTGTGGGTGTATGATGTGAATAAAACTGGCCTGGAAACATGAGCAAAGAATCCCATAGTTATGATTTGTAGCTAAAATAATGAGGTCCTCTGATTTTGCGCAGTTATTCTTTTTTACTCTCTTAAGTCTGTGGGAAAATAACACAGAGTAAGTTTCTAACTCTCCATAAAATCACTAACAGCATCCCAACTACACACGTTAGGTTTAGAATACACGAGGCACTTCTATGACACGAAAGTAAAGTATGGGTTCACTCAATTAATGCTCTTTCAGCTTTTGAAGAAAGATTAATAAAAATCCACTGTTTTGGTTTTAGGCTCCTAGAACAGGTTCACAGTCACGACTTAGTATGACACGTGAATGGAAACAAGTCTGTGTTTATGTTAGTAGTAACACTTGTGCTGCTAGTCAAAATGTTTACTGTGAAAGGCACCCACTGTGTGATACATCTCATTGCAAAACCCATGGCCGATAATATGTTACCATGGCTGCCTCTGCTATTCTGGGAAAGCTTTCAACAAGATTTTACAAGAAACAGCTGTCGACAAATATATACACAAAAGCATGCAAACCGGTGTTACACCACATTCTGAGGCTCAGCATATTTAGTGACCGAATTGATGCGTTTTGGGGTCATTGAGGTCATTGAAACGTCATGCTAGCCATCCTCACCTCAACCATATCTTCTGAACGGAAGTCACCACTCTAATACGTGAAAATGTGCATAAACATGCTTATTTGTTCCAGATATCATTGTGGTTACTTATTATTATCATTAGCATTTCAAGGCAGTTAATAACGAGCCAGCCAAACAAGAACAGCTGGTTACAACCTAACATTATACCAGCCAGTGTTAGGCTTGAGTGTCTTAAAAATCACAGTTTCCCTTTGATAAACAGTTTGATTATATTCTCATAGTTTAATCACTATCTCAGTCTAACAATGTTGATTTGATTTGATTTGATTGAATCTTTATTTTGAACATGTTGAAAAAGTACAACAACATAGAATTAAGAGACAAATGAACAAAGCAAAACAAAAGGAAAACAAGCAACCACAACTACAAATAACTTTCATGTTCAAAAAGGAGCAGGAAGAAGCATAAGCTTATTTAATCCCACTCCTTTTCCACTATCTAGTAATCAATAGACTACAGAAATACCTCCTTGCCATTACATTATGTCATGTGTATTTTTTTTTTATTATTCATTTTTATTTTTATATATATACATATATGTTTCTGTCTATCCATTCATACATATATACACATACGCACATATACACATTTTCAATAACCCCAGTAACACCTCAAAGGATACACAACCTACAAATATATATATACCCATACCAACATACCCGTGCACCCGCACACACATGAAAATACTGGACAAGAACAGCCTATCAAATCTCTACCTCTTCCCTATACCCTGTAAAAACCATATCCTTAAACCGCTTTTTAAACTGTGCCATGCTCGGACATTGCTTCATATCTTTACTTAGTCTGTTCCACAGCTTCACTCCACACACAGAGATGCAAAAACTTTTTAATGTTGTACGGATACGAGGATGTTTTCAATTTAATTCCCCCCCTCAAATTGTATCCCCAATCCCTTTTATGTTCAATCCATTTCAAAGAACGTTTCACTAATGCCAGCAAGATCCTTGCAAGAAATACACTAACTTGTATATCAGCTAGATAAAAACAAAAATTATATGCAACAATTTTGTACAGAAATGCAACTAAAACTATATTCTGTAAGTGGTAAAGGCAAATTACCACTCAAGAAAGTTTTCAAATAAATGAAATAAAATGTTCCTAGAAGTACAATGTGATCTAAAAGTAGCAAGTTTAAATTTATTTAATTTCTTCAAATCTGGTTCATTTATATGACAATATGTCGAATATGTTTAGGCTAAAGTTAAAACTAATTATGCCTAAACAACTATTCCAAAGTTTAATACCTCTATTTACAAATGTGCAGTCACATTTCACACTACTCCCAACCTTGGGATTTTCATAAAATATCATTTGTATTTCTCATTTAAAATATAAAATAAAATACTGTATAAACCTTTTATATACTGTAAAAGGATCTCCACGGAGTATAAGACTTTTTTTCAGTGTAGTAGTGAACTGTGGAGTCTGAGCGCAGTACAGCCGCCTACTGGCGCTGTTTCACAGTGTAAATGTTCACAGACTCCAAAAGCCGATTAAACTTCAGAGAAATCGAGCAATAAAGTCAATTCTTCGTCACGAGTTAATTAAAAAGTATTCATATGAAGAGGTGTTTTATGTCTTCGACGAACGGGCTTTTGTAAACAATGCATGAAAGACAGAAACAACTCGGTCCATTAGGACAAATTTAACTCTGAGTTAAACCTGTAAGGGTGTAGTTCCAAATTCGTGACACAACCGCGTTTTCACTACACACGTTTATAATAGCTCAGGAATAATTCTGGCAATATTATAATTGGTGAAAATTAATTATTCACTAATGACAAACAATTTTATAAAGGTGAAGCTTTGGGTTTTCATAATGTTGGACGGCATTCGTACCGGAAGTGGCGCCTGCGAGGCCTAACTCAGGGGGTTTGTCGAAAATCACGGTAGGCGGTTACCAGGGAGACGTTTAGCCGTTAGTTTAGCTAGCCGCTAAGCTAGCCGTTAACATCGGAGAGACAAAACAGGACTTTCCGTGCCACATTTTCTGGTCAAAGCGAACCAGTGTGGCATGGCAGAGCTGCACATTATAGGGCAGATTATTGGTGCAAGTGGTTTCCCGGAAAAGACTTTGTTTTGCAAATGGGGAATTCATACGGGAGAAGCATGGCGGCTTTTATCCGGGCTGAAGGAGGGTCAGACCCAGGTGGATAGCCCCCAAATCGGAGACATAGCGTACTGGAGCCACCCAATCGATCTGCACTACGCGACCAAAGGGCTGCAAGGCTGGCCGAAGATTCACCTAGAGGTGTGGCATCAGGATTCTTTCGGACGGTGCCAACTCTATGGTTATGGTTTCTGCCACGTCCCTTCTAGTCCGGGACATCACCGAATAAGCTGTGCGACCTGGAGGCCCGTGGGCTCCTGGCAAGAACGGCTGGCGCAAATGTTCGTCGGCGGAGGTCCCCAGCTCCTCAGCCCTGACCTGATCTACAGCGGGGCGGACAGATACAGACTGCACACCGAAGCCATGGGGACTGTGGAGCTGGAGCTGGGCATCATCACGAGACACTTTGACAAATATGGTGTCGAGTGTTGAGATTTTGAAATGGCAGAAAGACAGAAAGTAGAAACAGTTATAGATCATATTTGAGTCACTTGCTTTTAGTGGAATTCTGTACTATTTTTTTTTCTAAACTGCATTTTTTTTTTTTTTTTACAAACATCTACATGTAAATAAAGAAAATATTCTCTTACTGAAGTTGGTTTCTTGCTGATTTGTATTTTTTAATAGAAAACTGACTCTTATTAGCGATATTCCCTGCAATCATGCCTCATTTAATGCTGTTTTCTTAAATGTATCTTTATATTATATTATGTAAACCCACATTTACTTTTTATTTGGGATTTTAAGTTGTACGGCTAACAGGACTGTTACTTGCATTAAGTTAAATGTCATTAATAACCTGCTACAAATTCGGAGTGGAGGCAAATACGGATACTGAAATCTATCATTTTAGTTCCACATGTGATCCATTCACTGGCAGCAAATATTGTTTATCAAAGATGTAGGAGTTCCCTGCTAGTCTGGCACACGTCACTACTTTTTAAGAAAATTATAAAGTGAGTTATCTTACTTCATATTAACAATAACAACCTCACAAGGAAAGAACTGGAAAGACTTTTAAAGAGTATATTTTTTCCCTTCAGTTACCAGATACTGTGGTGTATGGTGCATGACTGTATTGCACAGAATATATATTGTCATCGTGTCTTATGAGTTACTCTTGGAGTTCATCAAAGAGAGGTTTTGACCATCCTTTCTTGAAAATGAAGTTTAGCTTATGCAAACTGAAAATAAGCTTGTTTTCTTCTTTGTTTGTCACTGGTTACAAGCATCTCTGAATGCACAACTTGTTGAGCCTTGAAGCACATAGGCATACTCAGATCTTAATCGAAAAGAGCACATTTGGGATGTGGTGGAGCACGAGATTCTCATCATGGATGTGCAGCCGAAAAGTCTGCAGCAACTGCCTGAAGCGATCATGTCAATATGGACCAAAATCTCAGAGGAATGTTTCCAGCTTCACACAAAGAATTAAGGCAGGTCTCAAGGCAAAAAGGCTGCTTAACCCAGCACTTGCGAGGTGCACCTAATAAAGTGGACGGTGAGTGTATGGTGGCATAAATTACTCTATCGTTTTTTCTTTTCCTCATAACTTCAATATACTGTAATTACCGTACACAGAATATCAGATTGTTGGCATATTAATTGCTTGTTAGTCACTTTGTCGGCAAAATGATGCATTTAATCTGCAAAGGCAATTTAGATCATGACAAATGAGTGAAACGATACCATTAAACTTTCACAAATGTATAATTTACATAACATATGTGGCTGTCATGACTGCACATGGCGGTTGTTACATTAGTATAAATGTATATATTACATTGACCACTCAGCAGACTGAGTAATGAGTCACTTTGCTACGATTTCACAGATATTTAATCCAGACTAAGAGTAAAATTACCCTGATTTATAATCTGCTCTCGCTCTAAATAAAGCTAAAACAAGCTGCAAAAAGAGGGGTCCATATCAAATTAAAAAAAAAATGTATTGCAATAAATCTACAGATATATCAACCTTTAACTCTTAACCAAGAAACCACATTGTGGAAACTACAAATAAGAAATGAACTTCATCTCAGTGGCTCAAGCAGCAAGTTAAACTCACCAGCGCAGATGTCATTTTTGTTGATATCGGAGGCAAAATGCTAATGGAAGAGACTTGTTTACGTTCGTAGCAGTCCAAGCTAAATTTTTACCGTGCTTTCCTCCGTTATTAGGACGAATAGGGTGCAAGATATCGCCTCTTTAGCTCGGTGTCCGGCTAACGCTAGCTAACAGTTAGCTCTTAGTTGCTGACAACAACAAAGTTCAGTTTACGCGCCGCGATTGGGCGCTGAGCAGCTGGTCGCCGCTCTTAAAGGGGCAGTCATCCCTTTAGCAAAGTTTCTGTCGAAACTGTCATTTTACTATTAACGTCAAAGTATTTAAACAACATGAAATATAGTCAAATAAAATCCACACAGGTTTTAGAAAATTATTCATGTGATGCTGTTCCATTAGGATACGTTACGCGGTAAATTCAATATCAGGCCGTTTGTAGTAACTGATAATTGCCACCAGGTGTCAGCAGAGGTACACTAGACAGAGTTGTAAATCAGCTTTATGCAGCTAAGTACATGAAGGCCTGTAACCAAGGCCTAACGTGGGTTTTGCTGTCGCCTGCTTGTGCATATAAAGTCTTAAAATATAATCCATTTTCACTCAAGAATGAGATATGTGAAGGCTGATGAAAAATAACTGCATTTTACTTTGGGACTGATCCGGCTAAACATGAACCACTCTACCTGACCCAAACACAGTATTTTGGCCCCTTTGACTGAGCCTGCCGAGCCAAACAGGTCACATTGTGACAAGTAGGAAAGGTGTCGGTGTTCCTGATAGCTATGGCAATGGTGCTGTCTTTTACAGGTTTCCCAGGTACACACTACTACACTCGTGGTAATGTGGCACGTCAGAATGTCTCCTGTGAAAAACACTTGTCACATTCAGTGTGCAGTTTTTTCATTGTGAAGATTTTGAAAACACACGTACAGAAAATGTAGAAAAAGATAATCTCAGAAGTATTTAACAGAAATAATGACTATGGATATAACTAATGAATTTAAATGTGACCAGTGACCTGGAGTCTGTGGGAATTGCCAATGAGACGTGGTAAGCCACTCAAGGCCTGTGTCACCTAACATTTGATGGTCAAAATCAGCTAATAACAGTAAGTAAACCTGCTCTGTGAATCACAGCTACTGACGTACAGCAAACCTGTCACCATAACAAACATTAGAGATACATTCCTGAGAACAGGTCAGATCATGATGTCATTTTAGCAGAAGTAATACGGGAAGTTAAACATTCAAATAACAGTAAGAACAGGGATGCAAATATTTAGAATGGAGTGATGGACTAAAAATCCAACACATAAACTAAAACTGAAGGATAATTAATTTAAGAGTTATTCTTCTCTGCTCACCTATTCAATGTGTACATAAACTCATTCTTCAACTAAATCCCCATCCATGGTCTTGTTCAACCATAAGGTTGGTCACCTTGTAGCCAGTCATTTATACCACAAATACCAGTAATGCGATAACAAATATCACCACATAGTCATTCAGCATTACCAGCTATAATTATGTTATTGTCGCATTACTTTTAGATTATGAGGTCATGTTTCTTTTTTCCCTATTCTTTAAAGCAAACTCACGGCAAGGCAGTGCAATCTGCTGCACACTCTAGAGACACTTGTTTAAAAATTGTAATAAAATGATTTATCTATCCACACTTCTTTCCAGAACTTGCTAAAATAGTTCAAATGTAAGGCATCTCGTGAAGCTGCAGCAGGGTTACTGTAAGAGAGAGGGGGCCAGCACTCAAAAAATGAGAAACTACGAGGGATGTGAAGCAGCGACAAGCAAAGATGGTGGTAGAAGTACAAGAAAATCCAGGAAGCAGGGAAAAGATTTTAAACAACTTATTTTGGGGTAATGTCAGCAAAAATATAAAAATCTTTACAAGTTATGACTATATATGTTTACATATATGTATATTTTAGACAGTGAGCATTGAAATTATTTTTTAAAAATGCTTTCATCTTTTCTGCTTATTTAATTTGGCAGAGTTTTACACCCGATATCCTTCCTGATGGAACACAGAAGGAGGTTACACTGAACACTAAAATTAAAGTAAAATGACTACAGCAGACTACAGTAGAAGCCGGCACTGGTTTCTATCAGTTTCAAGGCTTTAATTCGTTTAATTCAATCAACAAAGAACAGTTTGTCTTTGCTGCTGCCTTCATACATTTAGTTACAGTAAACTAAACAAAGACACACCCACAGGTTTACTGTCTGTAGATAAGTACTTACAGTAATACTACACTACACTTTAACAATGCATTCTCGAGCTAAAGCATTTTCATGCAATTTAATTCATCGCTGTTAATAGCTTATAAATCAGTTAATAGCTTATAAATCAGTGCTGTTCCCATATGATACATATGGGAACAGCACTGATTACATCACCTTGTAAAATCCTAAAGATTCCAGTAGGTGAAGACTTTAATGAGAAGGAAGGAGGAAGAGAAACAGAAAAACAATCTGAAATTCTTCTCACTGCAGCTAGACACTTAAACTCAGCACAGTTTACTTGCTCCTGCGTGATACAGAGAATCATGCAGCACGTTTACAGGGCAGTAAATATTCATACGTCTATCTGAAAACTGAGCATCTTATCAGTGTATGTGTGTTCTGTTTAAGGGTAGTAGGATGTAGCTGCAATGAATAATCAGAGCTTTGTCTACAGAAACAGTTTCCTTTTCAGTGCAGCGGGACGATGTTTTTCATGGTGTGTGTTTTATCTCATGGGGTTCTTGACTCCTGTTTCGAATGGGACTTTTTGTCAAACACAGAGCCTTTTGATGCGCAGTGAGAGAGGAAGCTTTGGCGACCATAGCATGGGGCAACAGCTGGATTTAACACAGGCAAAGTTTCAACAGGTCCAGCGCTTTACATTTGCACACCGTGTGTTATGTGTTACACAACTGAGAGACACGTGGCCTTAGACTTCAAAATGACCTTCAAAGTTCACCTTTGCGCCAGAGCTCATCTGGATAGGCTGGCAATTGCACAGCTATTCAGATATTTTATTTCTAAAGATTTATTTATTTTAAAATTATTATTTGTTTTAACTATGGGTTGATTTTTGAGTGCATGAAATAATTTGATTCGATTAGCTGTTAAACTTTAAGTTGGGGCATGGGCTTATGTACCCTGCAAATATAAAACCCATATATCCTTAACTCGGCTAATTATGAACTCTCAGTCTGTAGCAGTCTTGTTGACAGAGTCAATAATTTGTATATTAATGAATGTTAACAAATGTATTAACATTTTGAAATAATTAGTATTTTAAATATCGTAAAGGCAGTTAAAGTCATCAAAACCACTCTAACTAAAATTACAATATGACAGCATAGAAGGATGTATTATTTTCTTAACTGAAGTTCCTCTTTCCTTGGTATTCTATTCATCAAAAATGATCATAGACATTATCATATCATATTCCCTGGAAACTGAGATGTGATGGTGTTCATTTTTCTACCAGTAACAGTCCTTTCAACACACATGTATATGTGGTCTCACAGCTGTTTATCATGTCGTTAGGTGACAGCATATTAGGTGAAGCATGTGGTCAAAAGTGTCATAAAATGCACTATGAACCTCGTAGGTTATGGAAACTGGCTTCTTTTGGAAGAAAGCCCCAGATCTATCATGTCTGACAGCTCTTTTAAAACATATGGTATTTCCAAACAATGCATTGCTTGCAGCAGCCAAGCATTCCTCAACATAATTTGTCATTAGGTGTTTAAAGGCATGCATTAAGCCTGAAAGCCTAACATCCGAGAAGAGAAAATTTTGCTTCTTTGTTTATTAGCTTTTGGGCAAACACAACAATGTAAGACTAGTTGGCTGGTTTATTTATAGCCACCAAACTGAAACAACGATAAACCTCGTGAATGAGGAAATGTGAAGACTGGTAAATCCACTCAACTTTTTACGATTGCTACACTGGTCTGCACCATTGTGCTGATGTCTGTCACAACATGGTTTGACTCACCACTGAAATGCAAAACAGAAACTGCAATTAAAAAAAAATAAACATTCTCTCTAGACATAAAGTAGATAAGATAAAGACTGTAAGTATTTAACAGTGGTTGGAGGGTAAAAATCTCTCTTTAAAAATGATCATTTAAAACAGACTTTTTTAGTTTGAGTGCTGTGTACTTTATATATAAGGCTGCAGATTGCTTGTTACCTTTGCTTGCACTGAGAGAATTGATTGCCCTAAATGCAATGAAGCTGACTGTGTCATTATGCCATGCTTTGGAGTTGCTGCCAACAGTGTCCAGGGTTTATTCAGAGCAGAGGACATTCGACCACTCTCTGTCTTATTATATGCTGTGCAGTTACACCTGTGCCATGAGTGCTGTCAGCAGCAAACCTCTAGTGCAGTGATCTAAACGGTGTTTCCATGTTTTTGTATTTGACTTCAGAGCAGCAGGTTTAGTATATCAGCTCTGAGAATCTTCTGTGACCAACACAACCACACTGGCTGACTTATTACAAATGGTGGTTGAAGAATGGGAACCCATTCCACAGCAGTGTGTGTTACCAAGCTGGTGACCAGCATGACCGGTGGTCTTATACTATTGGCCTTAACATGCTGTTGACGCCCCCGTTTCTTAAATGAATAAAGTGTTAAATTGCCAATATGTCCTATTTCTTCAGACTTCAATCATCCAATCCAATAAACGACACCAAACAGGAATCAGTAGGAGAATATGCTGTTTGGCAAGATTTGGCAAGTTTTTCATGGCCACAACCCACATGCTCAAGTCTGCTGCTCGACCCACAAATGCAGTTTTCTGGCACCATTTAAAGGGAGATAAACAGATTTTCCAATAGTATAAGATTTATTGCCAGGAAGTGTCGTTATTGTTATTTTTATTTTAAAACTATCAAAAACTGTGTATAAAAGAAAACTGACAGGAGAACCCTTGATTTAATAGTGCTATCTCGCCTCAGCATTAACAGACAGATAGCAGCTGTATGTGGCATCCATACAATTAGATTACAATTAGATTCAATATCAT